GTGGAGGAGGAGGTGGAGTAGGATGATGATAATGATGAATTTTGAATGACAAGAGTAACAAAAATGATAATGGATATTCAAAAATGTCCCACATAATGTAGTGGCCACAAGTCAAGTTCACGGATGGAAAAGTAAAGACCATTTCTGTGGTAGACTGGAACCTAGAGAACAGTAGTGGAATTGTTCTTGCACGTCGAAYCCAGGTTCCTCTCAAACTTGCCTGGGCTATAACCATCCATAAGAGTCAGGGAATGAGTATTGACCTGTTACAGGTAAGGATGCACTTACAATAAAGAGTCATAAACCTTTCCCATATAACAATCATGTTCATTCTATTCATCATTATAAAATAACTGTTCTAAATCTCGCGTTCTGATTGGTTGGGAGCACGTGCTTTATGAGAAGAGCACTTTGTACTTTCAGTTTCGTCATTCATGTAATTTGTATTTCATAAAAGAAATAAAAAACTTGCTTGCTGTGCTGTGTGGAGTCATAAAGCACTTGGGGATTGGCAGAACACTCGAGAAGTATCGAGAAGCACTCCACTATGCGTCGTTCTTCTCCTAACGCTTCTCTCGTGTTCTGCCAACCCACGCACCCCATGCTTTATAACTGCACACAGCATGCGTGCGCGTTTTCTATTTCTTCATTTTCACATTCCTATAATACCCATGAATGTGAACTTTCAAAATTGTGTGCTTGTTATTTTATGAGATATTACATGTCATGGTTTCCTACGCTTCTCTCGTATTCTCTCAGCATCCAGGGTATTTAGATCAGAGTATCAAACACGGAAACCTGTTTTATATTTCTCGTCGTTTCAAGTCTGGTCGTGTCATCAAGGATCATCTTTTCGTTCACAGGTTGATCTCAAACATGTCTTCAGTCAAGGCCAGGCATATGTTGCTTTGTCAAGAGCAAGGTAAGACATCAATACAGTGGTTCCTGTATTYAAACTGTTTTGTTCTTGGTGTCACCTTGGGAAAGGAGAACAAAAAACTTGTCCCTACCACTAGG